AATAAAAAATATGCATTTGCGCACTAGATAAAAGTGCTGCAAAAAACCCGCACATACAACAGCAACTTTTGTCGAACTGCTTGAATGTAAGCTAACTCATACTAACAAAATGCAGAGGTATTCCCTGTTTCTCGAATTCCTTTAAAAAAGGATAGCAAATGCATGGTTCAATAACGCGACATTTTACTACAGCATTCACTTCTGAAAAGTAAACCATTGCTTTTAAGTCTGAAATTTATTTTTCGGACTACACTTCACATAAGTCAAAACACGGAAAACGCTCCACAGTGATAGGAACACGCAGTACAGAGGAAGGAGCACATTTTATAACAGCAAGATACGCATCATAGTCCCACACGAGCATGCGTACGGACCATGCTTCATAAAAACGGATCGGTACGGAAAACACCGAAAAACTAACATCTGTACGACGAACCATTTGTGAGGGAAGGGAACCTTCTATGACACTCTTCCTGACACTGCTCTGCCCCAAAAGAAAATCAGCTGCAGCTTTTATGTGCAAAACCAATTAAGCTGCTCCAGTGCTTACGCAATCCTGGGGCGGTTCCTAATTGAAACATTGACAGTATGCACACTGATGCAATTCGAGTAGCAACTACAGCTAATACCGAAACAACTGGTCGCTAGAGACCCTCATCTGTACAGTCTGATTCCTCTCACCGCCAAGCAGATACTCTGCAGGCACTCACAATTCTGACAACTGGTCACGCGCACAACTTACGTCTTTATTAGAACATATTACGTCTGATACTGCTCTGCTAGGTTGTAAGGTGCATCGCCAATCCCGGCCCAGATATCCTAAAGTCTATCGGCAGGCCTAGCCAGCCATCAATTCAGATGAAGCCGAAGCCCGCATTTACCAAACAAATGAAGACCGGAACTACGTGACTCGGAACTACGAAAGTTAACTTCTGGAGCCAGCTTTTCGCTATCCAGTGTGGTTTAGATTATACCAAGTTCCCGCGTGGAACGAGAACCTCATATTCGCATGAAGCCTCTCTTCCTCATAACTTGACCCAACTAACTCATTTTTATGCGTTTTTTGCAGCCATGCAATGCGAAAAACGCATATTGACGAGAGGTTGTCTGTGCGCGTGTGTGTGTCTGTGTGTGCGCTGCGCGTCTGTACCGATTTTTCATCTCCAGACCCACAAAAGCTACAGGGCTGAAACTTTGGGGACTTAGTTTACATGCACGTACGGGCCTCCATCCCCAAAATGGGCGGTCTTTCCCGCGTGGTACCCACGTAGGAGCCCGCCAAAGTTTTTTGAAGGTAAGCTGCTAACTCGCGAACCAGAAAACCTAGAAAGCTGAAATTTTAAGGGAATGTTCCCCGTCCAAATAGGTACTGATGAGCTCAAACTCAGCCCCCGGGTAGGCGTGGTACCCGTGTACGGGCCCGCCGAAATTTTTCCCGGGCAAGTTCATAACTCGGGGATCTGAGATGCTAGAAGATTGCAACATTAAGAGGGTGTTTCTCGCCCACATTAGTCTCAATGGAATCAAACCCAGCCCTCAGTCATGCGTGGTACCTACGCACGGGTTCACCAAAGTTTTCTTCGGGTAAGTTCATAACACGAGAACCTGTAAAGCTAAAAGACTGCAGTTTTAAGAAGATGTCCCCCGTCCAATTAAGTCTCAATGGGCTCAAACCCAGACATCGGGCATGCGTCGTACCCGCGTGCGGGCCCGTGAAAGTTTTTCCAGTAAGTTGCTAACTGAGGAGCGAGGAAAACTAGAAAACTGAAATTTTAAGGGG